GGCTGCAAGACTTCCTGCCTCTCTACTCTGAACTCAGACACTAATTTAAATGGGAAAGAATTTTAAAGCATACAACCGTCTATAATATGCGCACAAACGCCGTGTTATGTGTGTTTAAATTTCCAGCAAACTAATCTTAAGACAACGATAATGAAAGCGAAATGCAGGCGGCAGGAAGGTAACCACAGCAACGGTTTGGTTTGGTTTCCATGGTAACAGGCCGTACCGCTAAGCAGCTCAAAGCGTCACAATTTCCTTTGATTGGTAGATTCTCAAAAAAAAAAAAAAAGATGGTTTAGAAAGTGACAAGGGATTTACAAAAAGAAAAAGATTTCCCTCACGAGGAAGGAGACATTAACGATCATAATAGCACATCGATGGTCAGACACAAGACAGGCCTTTGAAATTTAATGAAACCTCCTTTTATTCCCTCATAAAGAATTGGGTGGAATATCTCAATTTACACCAGCATGAACCAGCAGGCTAAAATCCACACTTCTTATTAACAAGCCAGAGTACAGTAGGTCGCTTGGAATGCACATTTAAAAAGCAACTTAAAAATCTATTCATTGATTTAACTTGCAGACAAACCACGAAAGATCAATAAATAATAAATGTTTTGGATGTTTCTATATTATTCAATGAGATTTAGTAAATAGAGGAATAAGTATTACAGTAAATACACACACATACATATGTGTGTGTGTGTGTGTGTGTGTGTGTATATAAAAGGGAGCGAGCTAGAGTTGGGTGTGTCTGTTGCTAGTTGCTCAACAACTTATCACTTTTCCCGAAGTATCAGTACTTACTAAATCTGAAACACTCCCCAAGCTGTTCCCACCTCTTAGACACGCAGACCTCCAGATGTGTGGACAGAAACCCAGCCTACAAACGGCTCCGGAAGGAGGCGCTGGCGTCCTCTCGTACGCACACATTCGCTCGAGGGTGCTTTGCCGAGGTGTTGAAGGTGTATTTATGGTTCATCATTATCTCCGTGTCAGGGGAGCTTGGCTGTTGGCCACGAGGTAGCGTCTGCAGCTGCTGGGTGGCGCAGTGACCTCTGAGGATGCAGACAGATGTCTGAGCGAGTCACAGGTGCATCCAATATAAACAGCGGCGGAGAGGAAGATGTTCAGAATGGTAAAACAAGCCGTTCTTGGACAGCACTGAGCTTTCTGGAGATGCTTTTTTTTTTTTTTTGGTCAGTTGTGGGTCTTGAACTCAGAGTCTGGGCACTCTCCCTGAGCTCTTCAGCTCAAGGTGAGCGCTCTACCTCTTTGAGCCAGGGCGCCACTCGCGGTTTTCTGGTGGTTCGTTGGAGATCAGAGTCTCACAGACGTCCCTGTCCAGGCTGGCTTTGAACCGTGATCCTCAGATCTCAGCCTCCTGAGTAGCTAGGGCTACAGGTGTGACCCACCCGGCGCAGCTGACTGTGATTTGATCAGCATCAATGAGGTTGTTGAAAATGTGGGTTTCTCAAACTCCTCTGACTGGCCAGATGACACTTTTAAATGAAAATCACCATTGGTGTGCCTAGATCAGAGAGTACATCCTCTCCCTCCCCCCCCCCCCCGGGACCTGGAGGTAGCTAAGGTCACCAGACAGACACAAGAGAAAGGCAGGCATGTTAAACTATAAAACGCCAGTGGTGCGTAGCTCCTTGTTTGTAGCTCGGAAATTAAATGTAATTGCTGCTCTAAAAAAAAAGAGGATGATAAATGTGCAAACACTTTGAACACATAAAGACTCCTATTTACAGCTACAAAAACCTGACCCGGGGCCAGGACGCATCATCACAGCCTCCGGCAGAAGAGACTGGGAGACATGAACAACAGACGCTTTCTGATCCACACGTGTGTGTCCCGAGACGTGGAAAGGAGCGAGTGGAAACGACTCGCTTCATTCACGCATATTCATCTCGCACGGGGCTCCCCCTGGGCTGTAGCCACGCAGGTGCGCCTTGTCCTCCCCTCCAATTTGTCCGTCCGTTGCTCTTCCCACCCTTCCTACGTCCCTCTCCTCCCCCAGGGGTTTCCGTGGATGGGAGTCTAGGAGGGTCAGGGTGCTGCCCGGCCTCCTGCTCGTGGGGTTTCAGTGCTCGGTGCAGCTCCACGCCAGAGCCCGGCTTCCCTTTCCCGTGGTGTTGTCCACACAGATAAAATCGAGCCGGCCAGGCCCTGCCAAGCACACCTCCCGGGGCTCTGCGAGCCGGCATGAGGCAGGCAGGCAGGCAGACCGGCTTCTCCAGCTCCCTGCTTCCTCTCCTCCCTCTCTCTCTCTCTCTCCCCCAGGGCAACGAGGAAAAGCTCTTCCAGCCGGGCTCCCTTTGAAGAAGTGACCCCGGCGTCTCCATGGGCTCCAAAGGTAAGAGGACACACGGCCGGCGGACGCCTGGCCGCTCCTCGTTTGCCAGCATGCTGTGTGCGCTGTGGCGGTGGAGGGAGACATACTTGCGTTGCTTTTTGAACAGTGAAACTTTAGCACAATGATTTTCTGCAGCTCCTAGGAGACTTCCGTTAAGCGCGCGTACTTGATCTGGTGCAACGTGAAAGTTCATGTGCAAGAAATGTGTATGGCTATATGTACAGAGACATACGTGTGTATGTGGATCTGAACACCTCTGCATGGAGGAATGTCAGGACTCCATACATGCACACATGTATATAATTAGTAAGAAGAACCGTTGTGACTAGACACACACACACACACACACACACACAGATGATTAATAAGAAAAGCTGCTCTGACCAGGTAGATCTATACACACATGTATTCTGTTTACTCATATCATATAGATGGGATTCATAAGAAAAACTGAGTAGCCAATGAGGGCCTGGCGTCTAAAGGAAACTTTTGGTACGTGAGAAGGTGTGTGTGTTGGGGTTGGTGATTGGATGGCGTTTCCACTTCCTGTTTCCTTGGGGAAACGTGGGAGGCACGGGTCTCTCTGGGTCTGCGTGCGTCCTGATCACACCGCGCCCACGTGTCCACACAGCCCCGTGTGCCCCAGACACGCACGGTCATCAGCGTACCAACCCCCAGCACAGGGGGAGCGGACACAGGTGACCCGGCCTTGGGAAACGCACAGGCTGTGACAAACACGCACCGTGGTGGTGGTCCGCCGGGAGCCGGCCGTGTCTGCTTTACCACCTGGAAATCTTTCCAGAGGCTCATTGTGAATTGAATACGGGAGAGTGAACCGAAGCCTCTGGGCCGGGCAGGTGGGGAGGGGTTTTTCTAGAAGAGGAAGTGGGTGAGTCCGACTAGAGTCACTGAGACCGCAGAAACGGCATGAAACTGCTATCTGAACTTTCAGCTAGCTCTCCCCAGAACGGTGATGTGGTTTTGTCAAACTCTGCAATAAAAACAAACAACCACCCTATAAAAAATTTTGCACAAACCACCCAATTTCTATATCTCCTACCCCGTACCCCCACCCCCCCGGCCCCGATGATCTGCACGAATCATCAGATTCTAGGCCACCATGAAAAGCTTTAGCATGAAAAAAAAATCATTTGTATAACACTGGTGGAGACTTTGAATTCTACTTACAAGAGTTATCCTAAAACGTATCCAGGACCCACTATCCATCGAGAGCATTTAGGAAAACAGACACTGCTTCATGTCAAACACAGGAAGTTCTCTGGATTTTTCTCATTAAACTGCTGTCTCTTACAAATGCATCTATTTTAAATTAGTTTAAAGTAGTAATACATAGGCGCTGCGTTTCAACAGAGCGGGTTTCTGAGCACCACGTGTGCTGAGCTTCCATTTTTTATTAAATCCACATTTCGTGCCGAGTAGGGTCTGGAGAAAGCGGGCAAACAGACTTTATGTCTAGAAAGAGCGAAATCATTCCTTTTTAACATGATGCATTTTATTTTATTAAAAAATATATCTGAAGACGTAGAAGTGAAAAGCTTGAGAAGTCGTCTTTTTTTCTTTTCCTTCCATGTAAGAATGACACGGGCAGCATCTCAATCGCTTCGTTACTTTATAAGCGAAGAGCCACCGCAGCCCCGCAGCCCGTGAGGTAGAGTGGCAGAGGCCGTGAAATATTTATAAGTTAGTTATACATTTTTAAAAGAGGAGATAGGAATTCAAAGCCGGAGAGAAGCTCAAAGGAGCACCGTTTTCCTCTGGTGGTCCGGGTCTTTGAAGGCGCTCTGACTAAGAAGGAATATTACTATCGGAATACGATTGATCTGCCGTGGAAAAGCAGTCACCACAAAGACTCGGGACTAAGCCCGGGCCAGACTTTCAGGGGAAAATGACCGTTCTACAACCTACCAGAATGTTCAGCACGAGAACACTTGCCTAAGAGAATTATGGTGACAAGGAGCAAAGCGTTAGGCAGCAGAAATCTCGCTAGGCAGTGGCCAGGCCTAGGAGGAGCTCGGGGTAGGGGAGGATTCAAGGTGCGTACCGCTACAGCATGGCTACCACGGACCAAAAACCTAAGCCCGAGATCATCCTTTTACACACACAAGGCCCACAGTGCCACATAGACTACTTTTCTCTGCGCTTTGTGGTTCTCTAAATCTCTCAACAGATACTACTGGTACCTGTATAATATAGGAACAGATATTATATTATATATAACACAATATACAATATATATAATATATAATATCCTAACAGATATTACCTATATAATATAGATTATATATTAACATATATACTATGTCATAATATATAACATAATTATATCATGTTATAGGTAATAACATATAACATAATAATAACATAAGATATAATTACATAGGATATAATTTATCATGATATAAATATAATAATAATGTAATGACAATGTTAATATAACAATATAATGTATAATAAAATATTGTATATTATGCTAACAATAATATAATATAAATTGATATAATATAATAGAATAATATATAGCAACATAATATATATGAGTGTGAGGGTAGAGGGCAGTCGCTAGCATCTGAATGAGGAGGGAGAGGCATGCTGTGAGGAGGATTCCATGGGAGAGCATGACTTTAAATGGGCCTGGACACCTCCGTTCCCTTGTAGATGGACAGAACCAGAAGCGGCGGGGTCCCCCCGGTCCCCTTCCCGGAGCTCCGGACCCCGACGGAGGCCCTCGGGTCTCCTCTGCCAGCCGGGAGGCTCCCACCCCAGACGGCTCCCTGCCAGCCACCGCCCCGCTTCCTCCAGGTCTGGAATATTTAAGCCAGGTACGAATGTTTGTCCTCTCCCTGGAGACTGACGCAGACCCGTTCCTGCGTCTCCACTGAGCTCTGAAGGCTGTCGATCAAGGGGCGTGATGAGCCGGGAAATGACCGTCTCCGTGCCGTTTGGGTCTCTGACGGGGGAAGGATCCTTGTTCTCCTCTTTGGCATTCACTACGCACTCGCTACGGTGAGGGCCAGGGCTAGGTTTCACATCCAGCTCTCCTGCGTTCGGTCATTGGCTCCGGGTGGCAGCAGATGCGTTCTGGAGGAATTGTCTCACTTCCTGAGTCATCACCCAGAGCCACCTAAACAGCATTGCTCAAGGCGTAGGGAAGACGTAAAACCCACAAACATCCCAAAGCCTCCTGGAACAGCAACCACCAAGGGAAAAAAATAATAACAAGAGTACAAGGTTGTGTACAAAGGCCAGGAAGACACACACCGCAAAGTGTGCGGCTGTGCAGAGGAGAGGCTGTGCGTCAAGGTGTGGGGCGCTCAGGTGAGCGATGACACTGACCTCTTCCCCTGATTTCAACTCCAGGAAAGGGGGGGGGGTCCAAGGGAAAGCAAGGGGCGGATAGGACTTTCTTCTGACTCTAGTCGGTCTCTGGACAATTTGCTTGACGGGCATGGCCGTTTTAGGCGTAGAAGCTACTCTAGGTCATGGTGGGGTAGTTCATGCCTTATCATGAATCAATCAACGTGAGTTATCAGCTGAATTTCATGGCTACACACACTCATATACACATTCATAAACATACACATATATGTACGTACGTAGTTGCTTTAGTAGGTGGTATGGTTTTTTTGTTTTTTGTTGGTTGTGGGGCTTGAACTCAGGGCCTGGGCGCTGTCCTTCAGCTCTTCAGCTCAAGGCGAGCGCTCTACCAGTTGAGCCACAGCGCCACTTCCAGTTTAGTTCATGAGAGATAGGAGTCTCAGGGACTTTCCTGCCCAGGGCTGGCTTTGAACCGCGATCCTCAGATCTCAGCGTCCTGAGTAGCTAGGATGACAGGTGTGAGCCACTGGCGCCCGGCTTCTTTGCGGTTTTATCCAACAAAGGATCATTATATGCTTACACTAACTTTGAGACATTGGCACATGTCAGAACCTACCATGCATTTGTCTTTAGAGACCGGAGAGCTGAGGAAGAGGGGTACAAGGGCCGGGTCAGGTAACCCACGGGCCTTGAACCTGCAAGAGGATCAAAGGGCGGACCAGAGCCCATTAGCCTCTACGCAGCTGTTGGGGGAACGCGTTCAGACAAGGTTCTACTGAGTATCAGCTGACCCAGCAGGGCCTGAGGGCTGGGACCACGCATGGCCACCACTCCACCGTCCTCTGCCTGTGAGAGAAGGCAAACCCAGGGCAGGAGCCACTGGACAAGCGTCGACCCGCAGAACAGTCACCGAAGAGAGATAGATACCAACTTGCTGCCACCACTTACTCTTAACATGGGGTAACATGATAGGTAGACAGACAGACAGACAGACAGACAGACAGACAGACAGATGAAAGAGATGAGAGACAGACAGACAGATAGAGATGTTAGGTAGATAGATGTAGATAGGTGGAGAGAGATGATAGATTGAAAGATGATAGATAGAGATAGATGATAGATAGATAGATAACTAGGTGGAGGGAGATGATAGATTGATAGATGGAGAGAGATGATATATAAATATATTATACATATTATATATTAACATATGTTTATATGTTTATAGATTAACATATATATAAACATATATATAATTGTTTGATTTTTTTTGATCCCAGAAAACAAAGCATGTCCCAATTAGTTAAACGTTTAACTTCTAAGGCGAAGGCTAACCGACTTCACACGGAAAGAATGTGCATTTGTTTCAAACCAGTGTACATACGTTAAAAAGTCTGGGAGATTTGTTCAGGAGTACTTTATTGTCACCAGCCCGGGAGGGAGACACACTCTCGAATGAGGTTTTAGGACATGCGTGGTGAACTCAGAAGCTCCTAGAGGAGTTTTGTGAAATAAAACCAGAAGCAGTTCAACCATAGTGCGTCCTGCAGGGAAATCCTTAAACGTTTAGGTGATTCTTTAAATGTGCGCTCTATGAACCGTCTACTGAGAACAGTAGTTTCAGAAACAATTTGGAAATCATCATCCACACACACACGTAGGTTAAGTCAACGGATAAAAGTAACCGATTCTGACTAGGTTTGATTTTCATGTTGATAATAATAGCACACATCTTCCAGTGGTGTTCAGGGAATTAATTATTCCTACTTAGCAAGTGGGGTAAGTTGAAGTCGTGTGTGTGTGAACTATTCATTTGGAATTGCCGTGTTAAACGAAGCAAACCGACAAACACCCCAAAACCCAAACCCTCCAATCCAGGCTTGACCAAAAGGAGAGAAGAAATGGAGTCTGATCGCAGAGGCAAACGACTTCAGAACCAAACAAACCAAACAAAAACCAGGTTGGATGCTCTGTGGATTATAAAATATTCAGCTGTTCAAAACCATGTCAATGGATAACACAAAAGCCAAGTCATCTAACATCACATAGCAGAGTGATTAGGTGAAGAGTACTAGCTCTAAAGTTCTGGAAATGCACTGACTTAATATTCTCGATTTCTCTGAACATGTGGTGCTGTAATACTTTTGGCTTCTCTAAAAACTTGGTGCTGTAATACTTTTGATTTCTCTAACAATCTGCTGGCAGGATACTTTGGATTGCTCTGCAATGTGGTGACGTAACACTTTCTATTTTCTTTAACAGTTAGACCTGATCATCATTCACCAGCAGGTGGAGATTCTTGGAAGTAAGTATGTGACCTTCTGTACTTTCTATAACGGTTGAAACATTTCAATAGCCACAAGTTCCTTCACATCCAAAAGTGTTATAAATAAGAAAGTCAGGGGCTGGGAAGGTGGCTCAGTGGTAAGAGTGTTTGCCTAGCATGCATGAAGCCTTGAATTCAATTCCTCAACACCACTTATACAGAAAAAGCCAGAAGTGGTGCTGTGGCTCAAGTGGTAGAGTGCTAGTCTTGAGCAAAAGAAGCTCAGGAACAGAGCCCAGGCCCTGAGTTCAAGCCCAGGACTGACAAAAAAAAAAGAAAAAGAAAAGAAAAGAAGGAAGGAAGGAAAGAAGGAAGGAAGGAAGGAGAAAGAAAGAAAGTCCAATGTATGTGAGAAAATTAGATTAAAAAATTTGATTTCTTTTTTTTAAAGTAAAGAATAGAATTATTATTCATATAAAAGTATAAAATTCCCTCTAGTAGGTGTTGCTATGACTATCCAAGTCCTAGAACATGACACTTAATCTTAGAAAGAATGAAAGGTTAAACATTATCTATCTCAATGACGCTAGTAATTTTACACTTTGCCGGGGGTTGAACTTGGGGCTGGGCAGGCGCTCTACCACTTGAGCCACGCCAGCCCCATTTAAGCCCTGGTTACTTTGCCTTGTGCTGAAGTTGTAGCTCAAGTGTTACACCGCCTGCTTCATGAGTTCAAATCCCAGCACAAAAGAAAGAAAGAGAGAGAGAGAGAGAGAAAGAAAGAAGGAAGGAAGGAAGGAAGGAAGGAAGGAAGGAAGGAAGGAAGGAAGGAAAGAAAGAAAGAAAGAGAAAGAAAGAAAGAGAAAGAAAGAAAGAGAAAGAAAGAAAGAAAGAAAGAAAGAAAGAAAGAAAGAAAGAAAGAAAGAAAGAAAGAAAGAAAGAAAGAAAGAAAGCACAGATATTTATGAAGGTCCTCTAAATTGCATTCGGTTCTTCTTCTCCATCAGTGATCCTTGGCACCGAGACCTCCAACAAATACGAGATCAAAAACAGCTCGGGGCAAAGGATCTACTTCGCGGTGGAGGAGAGCCTGTGCTTCAACCGGAATGTGTGCTCCACGCTGCGCTCCTGCAGCGTGCGGGTCTCCGACAACGCCGGCCGGGAGGTGCTCACGGTGCACCGGCCGCTGCGCTGCAGCAGCTGCTGCTGCCCCTGCTACCTGCAAGAGGTGGGTCCCGTTCCCCAGACCCTCGAGACAGAAACACCAGTGAGCAGGGATTCCAGGGCCCGGCCTCCCGGTGGGAGCCTGGGGCAGCCGGCTTTCCCCGCTGGGAATCAGCCTGTTGCTCTTCAAGACAAGAGAACAGCTGGTTTGCTGTCCTGCAAAGAGAGGGGAAAAAAAACAATTGTGGTTGTTGAATAATTAGTTTAAAAAAATTCTGTTTCAATGGTTAAACGGGGAGGCTGCAGCCGAGAGATGGCTGTGACTTGGTGCTGGTGGAGAGAGACGCTGCAGAAGGCTGGCCGAGAGGGGCAGGCAAAGGAGGGGTGGGAGGTGGCCCTGTCTGTTGAGGAAAGTGGGCCGGGACTTGTAGCACCTGGGGTCAGACGTGGCTATGCGGTGACTCTGCCTCTCACAAAAATGCTGGGAGACGTGAAAAAGATCACTGCTCCACATGGTTGAAAGCACTTACCCATCCATCCATCCATCCATCCATCCATCCATCCATCCATCCATTATCTATGTCTATCCATCCATTCATCTATCCATCCATCCATCCATCCATCCATCCATCCATCTATTATCTATGTCTATCCATCCATTCATCTATCCATCCATCCATCCATCCATCCATCATCTATGTCTATCCATCCATCCATCCATCCATCCATCCATCTATCCATCCATCATCTATGTCTATCCATCCATCCATCATCCATCCATTTATTCTTCTATCCATCCATCCATCATCCATCCATTTATTCTATCCATCCATCCCTCATCCATTCATCATCTATCTATCCATCCATCCATTTATTCTTCTATCCATCCATCTGTCTACTATCCTTCTATCCATCCATCCATCCATCCACCCATCATCTATGTCTATCCATCCATCCATCCATCCATCCATCATCTATATCTATCCATCCATCCATCCATCCATTCATCCATCCATCCATCCATCCATCATCTATATCTATCCATCCATCCATCCATCCATC